AGAGTTTGGAGGCCAGGGCACATTTATTTCATGGCAGTAGATTTGTATACGAAATGTTGGTTGCAAAATCTGAGTAAAGGAAACCACTTCAAAAATCTAGACATTGATGGAAGGATGGATATAATATTAAAACGGATCTTGAAAAAAATGAATGGGGGCAAAAAGGTGTAGATTGGATTAATCTAATACAAAATAGGGAACAGTGCCAGTCTGTTCTAAGCACTTGTCTGTAGTCTAATGATCTATCAAGTTCCAGAAATTGTATTGACTAAGGAAGGTCTCTGCTCCATTTAGTTTCCGTTCTACATTTCCAGATAAATAAGTCTGTTTATCTTTTAAGGGCATGCGTACGGCTGCCATATTATTGCGCAAAGCCTCACGACGTCATAGCAGTTCACCGCTAGCAGAGGCAGAATCCAGGAGGCGGAGCCCGCGTGTACCGCCCTCTATCATGTGACCGTGAGTAGACCCGCCTCGTGCGAACACCAAGTTCTTTCAGTATCTGGGGGTCCATAACTCTGGTTTACCACAAATTATAGGTAGGATTTAATTGATCATGGAAAATAGTCTAAAACGCCAGGGTAAATATTCAACGACACTTTTCTGCAGCCAATTTTAACGTTAAAATTGGTGTATTTTATGAACACGTGCTTTACACATCTCATATTTAAAATATTTCTGTATTAAGATGACAGGAAAAGCCAAATATTGTATTTGGAATTCTAGATTGCTCCGTTGGTACGAAATAAACAATTATCAAGTATACTGTTCGTGTTAGGTTTCATATTGTAAATTTTGCGTAAGGGCGATGTATGGTTCCAGTGTTTCACTGCGAAGAACAGGGTAATTTAGCGTTGAGTTCACGTTCCAGATATAATGACGATCAAAATTTCTTAAAGTAGGCTAGACATTTAGAAACAATTCTTTTTGAAACAGGACTATAGAACAGTTTCTTTAATTTTTTTGTACAGTAATAGTATTATTCAAATCCACTTGTGTCCACGATTTTCTTCGATTATTTCTTCCTGCGTAGTCCTACATTCCGGGAATCTTCACTAAAATAAAAACGAATAATATGACCTAGGTTCGCTTTTTTAGATCATGTATCAAAAAATAAAATATTACATCTGCGGCGTCTGACCTACAAAATTATCTTTTAGCGCGTGGCATCTTTTCCTGCCTAAATATAAGACGAAGCCTCAATCACGACTGACAAACTGAATCTAACCAAGAAGACGAAAGGCCTACGCTTAGTCTTAAAAGAAATAACATGCATCAGGCTTAAGTATGCTTCGGTTTCTTGCATTTTGATTACCGGAAGGGGAATTTACGATGAATGTTGGCGTCTCACAAAATGCACCGACCACAAATACAGCTATAGCTGTGTTAACTCTTAAAAATTTACTTCATAAAGAAAGCATTCGTTGATAACTCAGTCTTCTTTATCTCTGTTCAAACCGGGGTGGGGGGGGGGGGGGAAAGTTTAAAAACGCGGTGCCGGAATTTTTCCGTTTTTATCCAAACTATAAAAAGTAGTGTTTTACATTTACTAATTTGTTTCGTTTTGACGTAAATACGTCTATACGGAAGGGTCATTCGACAAAAAAGTGTAACGAAAATGTGTAAGATCCGTATCAACAATGTGTAAATATGGACCGATAACAATGGTCAGCTTGTATGCATTGTTATGTTACCTAGGAAACGCCATCTGTTTACTCGGCGTTGTTGTGTTACATTACTTCCGTCAACAATCCGCTTTCGTTATTGCGGAAAGAGCTGAGCTGTTTAATCTCTTGTAGAAGTGCGTCGTAGACTAGATAATTTTATGTTGGTGAAACGTTTTAGAATATCACAGGTACTTATCTTATATAAGCATTATTACATTACATTACATTACATTACATTACATTACATTACAGAGACGTATTTACGTCAGATTCTCCGGAACCTTGGTTCCACTGTCAACTCTTTTTTTTCCCCAGTTGTTACGAAATTTCATAGTTTTTGTTGAAAACTTGGATTGCATTCCCTTTTCTGTACACAATCTAATTATTCAGACCAAGGATTGAGCCTAACTGTGTGTCCCTTACATACTGGCGGAGATTTTATGCTAAATTAAAACTTTTTATATTCGCTAGTGCGTAATTTAGGTTATATTTAACAACTTTTAATATTCTTAGCCTTCATTTTAACGTCTCTTAACTTAGGTCCCTTTATTTTAACACCACATAAATTCGTTAAATTTAAGCGCTCTTACAACAAAATTTACAAAAATGCGCCTATTAACTTCAATACGTCTGTCTGTCCGTCCATCCAACTTCAAAATTGCTAAAAAGATTTTCGTAAAATTTGATAAGACTATTTGGTAGTTTTATTAAAACTTTTCAGCAAGTGCCAATTTTGGTTAAAATTGAACAAGAAGCACGGATTCTTTAGATTCAGATTTAGTCCTACGTGTGTTTCTGCCCATCTAAATATCTAAATTAGTAAACATATCACAAACATTCAAATATTAGGGCTAATTAATTTTATATCTGTATGCAGGCAGACAGGTTAGCGGTTCTGCAGAAAATCTTTTGCTGTTTATCGACGTAAAAATGTCACCGACGTATGTGTAAAGAACGGGGTTTTTCATAAATGTATTTATAGCGTACCCTCCTCATCGCGAATGAACAGTGCGGATCGGGGCTTCAAGGTTCGCAGCTCCGTCTGCTTGTCACACGTAGACAACGCGGCGGGCGGTGGAGTGAGGGGCAGTTCACTGGTACAGCGCGTATCGGGGCTGCAGTCCTCGCAGCCGGCTCATAGTAAACACCCTTACGCGGTACCACGTGTTTTAGACTGGTTTCTGTATCGCAATCTGTTTCGTGGTTATTGTTAATGAGTGTTCAATAATTCTATGTGCTAACTATTTTTGTTCTGATAATGACAATGAGCAAAGGAAGTGTGTCATAATTACAGTAAATTACTTTTTCTAAATTGTCTTTGAGTGAAAAAAGTGATGTAAAATATCTTGGCCGCCCTCTTCCGGAGTAACAAATAGATAAAACATCGTCGAGCACGTATGGGTTTTCTCCTGATGTAAATTTACTTTTCATTTATTTACATTCTTATGTGTTGAGAAACTAATCTGATTTTTCCCCCTTGCGCAGTACTACCACTGCCCAGACTCACGAGCCGCCACTGTTAGGTTAGGTTAGGTTAGGTAAAGTTGTGTTGTTTTACGATAGGTTATTTTGGGTCCTGAAGAATTTCTAGAGAGTTCATCGGGTGGTCGTGGGGATGTCCTGGAGAATTCCTGGAAAAGTGCTAGAGAAAATCTGGATAAGTCCTAGAGTAGTGTCGGAGAAGTCCTGGAGAGGTTATGCGGAAGTTCTTTGGTCATGGAGAAGTGCTGGAAGGTTATGTGAAAGTCCTTAAGCGGTGGTGGGATTGAATCTGCTGAAGTTTGATTTTTGATAAGCTACATTCAATCAGGTGCATTATGGGTTAGGTTGGGTTAGGTTAGGTAAGGTATAGTTACGTTAGTTAAGGTAAGGGCAGGTTTAGGTTAGGTTGGATAAGGTTGTGTTATTCTACGATAGCTTAGGTATGTCCTGGAAAATTTCTAGCGTGATCATCGGATGGTCGTGGGGATGTCCTGGAGAAGTGCTGGAGAATCCTGGAGAATTCCAGAAAATTTCCTGGAGAAATCCTGGAAACGAAATGCGCAATTTTTTTGTCATGGAAAATTTCTGGAAAATTCCTGGAGAAGTCCTGGTGAAATCCTGGAGAAGTCCTGGAAGTTAATTTGGAAGTCCTTAACCGGTGGTGGGTTTGATCCACTGCGGATCGGTTGTTTTGGGTTCGTTTAAGTTTGATTGGGATAACTTTCATTGGATTAGGTTGCGTTTTGAGTTAGGATGGGTAAGGTTAGGTTAGGTTATTATCCACTAATCGGCTGAACTGATAGTTAGTCCACGGTCGAGGTGTGCGTAGCAGATCGGGTCTGTGATCCGGTTTGAAGGATTTCAGCGTGGCTAGCCACTCAAAAGTAATGAGCGCTTCGTGCGGTGGAGTGAGGGGCAGTTCACTGGTACAGCGCGTATCGGGGCTGCAGTCCTCGCAGCCGGCTCATAGTAAACACCCTTACGCGGTACCACGTGTTTTAGACTGGTTTCTGTATCGCAATCTGTTTCGTGGTTATTATTAATGAGTGTTCAATAATTCTATGTGCTGGCTATTTTTTGTTCCGATAATGATAATGAGCAAAGGAAGTGTGTCATAGTTGCAGCAAATTACTTTTCTAAATTGTCTTTGAGTGAAAAGAGAGATGTAAAACGTCATGGTCTCCCTCTTCCGGACTTACAAATAGTTAAAACATCGTCCAGCAAGTATGGGCTTTCTCCTGATGTAAATTTGCTTTTCATTTATTTACATTGTTATGTGTTGAGAAACTAATCTGATTTCCCCCCCTTGCGCAGTACTACCACTGCCCAGACTCACGAGCCGCTACTGATGTCATTGTTATATCTCCTTGTCACAAGGTCATCACTCTTAGTTGAATGTATATGGTGGCATAGAGCAATGGTATTGAACCTGGGGTACGTACCCCGGGGGGTACGTGAAATTTAAAAAAAAAGACATTTTATGATAAACACTGAATAATCAGTAATGTAATTTATTTAATTTATTTTAGATGTAGATTATATACTATGTATAACTTGAATAATACACCAACAACTTTGGGGGTACAAAGTTGAAGAGAAATTATATCTGGGGGTACGCGAACAAAAAAGGTTGATGTCACTGGCATAGAGGATGGTCTTTCCGATTTATCATGCCTTCCTTTCTCACAGGTTATGCCATCAGCTGTTTCTTAGCGTTGTCGAATGGGTGGGGAGGACACGTGCTTAAGAGATGACTTTACAGGTTTATTTTATTTGCTTATCACTGTGACGTGATAATGTATTGAATTTTTAACAGCA